ATTGGCTAATTAAAAACACAAACATTGATCTGGATGGAGTTCAGAGGATGTGGAATCACTGTAGATCGAGAGATCTAAGCAGGCTTCACAGATACAGGAGCTGGGGTGGTGATGGGAAATGGAAAAAACTTAAGAGGGAAGAGAGTGAGTGTGGAATGATGGGCTTATGACTAGAGGGTACCAGGCCTGAATTTGAGCCTTCGTTATGTTCCAGAGTGGACTGGTTTCACTGAGTCCTGTTCTAGGCCATGCTCTGCTGTAGCCTGCATCATTTTCTAGGAACAGCAGGGATATGGTCAGGAGCTCTGTATCTTGCAGACCATCTGGCCATGGCCCCTGACTGTGGAAAGAACATCTCTGGCCAGCAGCAGATGGAGAAGGGAAAGTGCCTGATAGATCTTTGACCTTGCCTCCTCCAACACAGAAAAATCATGGTTTAAATCTTTCTCAGAAGCATTGTCTCACTTTAAAGTCCTCCCAATTCCAGTCAAAATTCTTTTGATGGTCATTAAAATTACATGAGTGACTTCATGCAATTTTAATGCTCTCTACCAGCAAGTTCTGCAGGAGAAATCCCCCCAGGCATCCCCATTGATCATTCTAAGTAGATACAACAAAGCATTTCAAGACACACATTTTAACCAGAAAGAAAATGAAATGAATATTTCATTTATGATGGCTTATCTGATAATGAATTTTTGTAATTTTCTTCATTAAAATATCAAACAACTAAATTGAAACCCTTGTAAAGGCATTGACCAGCCAGAGACAACCTCTTGAATTTATCAAACATTCTTTCAACCAAGGTTTCTTACAACTACTAGACAGGATTTGCAGGTCAATGACCTCTAAGATGACTTTGTCGAGTGAGTTAATTTGGTCATGCACTTTGTTAAGACATGTAATAGCCACTTGTCCCCAGATCTCTGCCACTGTCCTGCTATCCTCAAAGCTCAGTACCTGCAAAGCAAAAGCTTGAGAACCTCCCAGAAGATTCCAGGAGACCTCAGTAGCACTACAAAGCCTGGATCCAGGGGAGTTCATGTGAAAATGTTAGTAACAGTGGCTTTATATGCTACTATAGAATGAAGACTATGGCTAGTCTTTGTTTCTGGCTCCTGAGAGACAACTTCTAAACCCTCAGAATCTCCTGAGTGGTAGGAGAATCTTTGCTATGCATAGTGGGTCCATGGACCATACCTTACCACACCTAGTTAGTCAGGCCAGCAAGATGATGCCACATGGAGCCTGGCCATACCAAAAAGACTAACCATGTGATTACAGAGCTGGGGCTCTGAGCCTGGTGGTCTTAGCCCAACTTCCAGGGAGTCGGGGAGACCTAGGAATTGAGTTCAATCCCATGGTCAATGACACAATCATGTGTCACCTACTTAGTACTGGCCATCGAGGCTCAAGAGCTCCCTGGTTGGTGATATACACAAATGCACTGAGCATGACTCACCTGAGAGTACCGAGTTTTGATCTGGGGCTCTCCAGGCCTTGCTCCACAGATCTCATCACTTAGTCTGTCCTGATTTGTACCCTTTATCAGAAAATTGTAGTCACAAGTAGCAATTTCCTGGGTTTCTTCAAGCTGTTCTAGTGAATTAGGAAATCTGAAGGCAGAGTGGGAACCCCACATTTTGTATCAAGTTGGCGAGAAGGAAAGGTGGCCTAGGGACCCCAGGGCTTGTAGCTGGTGTCTGAAGAGGAGGACTCCTGAGCTCATGAATATACTAACTCTGTATCATTAGTGTCAGAAATACCTTTCAGTTATCCCTCCACCTAACTTGTTTCATACTGAAGGGCTGTGGGAAGGCACAATTTCCTAACCTACATTGGTGACTGGTGGAGGGGGACCAGAGGGTAAATAGCTGGGGTGTAGGGGTATGGTAAGCAGAATTCTAAAATGTCCTTAAGGTCCCTGTCCCCTGGGTATGCACCTGTATAATCCTCCCTCCACTTGGGCATACAACAGCACTATAAATATGGATTTTCCCTGAGATTAGGTTATGCTATATAACAAAAGTCGGAGAATTTTCTAGATATAATTGAGGTCTCAAATCAGTCTACTTTGAGTTAATCAAAACAGATAATTGTCTCAAGTGGCCCTTATTTAAAAGAATCTGGGCCCTTCCTGGAAGGAGAGTTCAAAGAATGAAAGTCTCTGAAGGTGATCATATGGCTGGGAACTGAGATTGACCTCTAATTGCTGAGAGCAGCCAGCAGCCAGAGGTCTTCAGCCACAAGCTTCTGTCAGCAACTGCTATGGTTTGCATAAGTGTCCCCAAGGACCATGTGTTAAAGGCTTGGCCTCTCTCCTGTGGCACTATAGTGAGGTGGTACAGCCTTTCAGGGATGGAGCCTTGTGAGAGGAAGTTAAGTACTGGGGGTGTGCCCTGGAAGAAACTGTAGGATTCTGGTCTCTTTTTCTTTCTTTTTGCTTCCTGGCCACTTCCTGGAAGCTCATCATGAGCTTCCCTCCATGATAATAAACTGCCTTGCTACAGACCCAAAGCAACAGGGCCAAGTGATCACGGACAGGAAACTGTGAACTACAAAAACATTTCCTCTTTTCAAGTTGATTATCTCAGGTATTTTGTTACACTAACAGAAAGCTGAATAACACAAGCGCATGATCTTGAAAGAGAATCCCAAGCTCCAGACAGGAATGCAGCACAGTTGACATGAACTTAGCAGTTGACATGAACTTAGACTTGTAAGACCCTTTCACACAGAACCCAGCTCAGGTGGGTCCAAATTTCTAGACTCCATGATAATAAATACCTGTTGCTTCAGGCTGCTAAGTTAGTGTTAATTTGTTATGCAACAATAGAAAGCTCTTCCACAGGGAAACTGTACTTGGAGAGGAAGCAGGAGAAAATCAAAGTTCAACTCTGCCAACATGAGAGGTGACCTGGTTGTAAATCCTGTCCTGCTTTAGCAGAGGGGGACAACTTGAGGGACAGCAATCAGAATATGGGAAAGACATACAACCAGATTCCAAAGTAAGAATTGCTATGATTTGAATATGTCCTCAAATTTCATGTATTGGGAACTTAATCAATCTCCATATTCATCTGCTAACGTATTTGGAGGTGGGGCCTTTGTCAGGTGATTGGGTAATGGGGCCATGAATAGATCAACCCATTCGTGGATTAATAGATTGCCAAGGATATGTCTTCATTATCAAATTGAATTCTCTCTGGCTTGCTTGCTTCTCTCCATGTGATGCCACCCGCCATGCTACCATGTGGCAAAAAAAGCCTTCACTCAATGCCAAACAGATGCCAAGGCCATGCTCTTGGACTTCTCAGTCTCCACAACAGTGAGCCGAATAAACTTCTATTCTTTATAAATTACACAGTCCCAGTTATTTTGTTATAGCAGCAGGTAAATGGACTAAAAGAGAAGCTTTCAAGTCTTCAAACACTGAATGAGCTGCCCCATGCAGAGGCATTGGACATGCCCAGGTGTCTGGAAGCACACCAATCTGTGATGTGATCTTAATATAAAGAAGAAGGTTCTAACATTCCAAGATGTCTAGAAGTAGAAAGGGCTGCCTTTATTATTTAGAATCCTAACTCCTTCCCAGAAATACAAAACACATAATTGGATAAAATTACAAATAAAAGGAGAAATCAGCCTCAACAGGTAGTCGTCTAAAAATTCATAAGCAATACCAGCAATAGGCAGTGAGTTGAATTTCGTCTCCCCAACCACTGTGACGCTAACTTTGGGTGTCACTTCAAAGAGTTGGTAGCACTTCAACCAACAGATGCTAAAGATGTGGAGGTGAAACTGAGATGGCGTTGGGCCAGAGACAAAGTGACATCTGAATCCTGCAAGTCTCCCAAAGGAAAGGCAGAAATCAAGGAAAAAGAAGACTGCAGTACTCTAGTGTTTTGGCCTAAACCTCAGCGTGGAATTCTACCAAGTATGATTGCATCCTATAGAAAATTGCTTTACCTGTGTGGGGTTTCCCGATAACATAGTACCACATACTCTAAAGTCCTACTCTTACCTGTTCAACCCCAAGGCCCAAACCTGAATCTTGGACCTTAGCACTCACAATTTTTCTGGAAAAAGTCGAAGAGGTTAAGTGAAACCAAAGAGAGCCAGGAAGGGCTGAAAGGGGCTGACCTAACCACACACTGCCAGCTTTTCTGTACCTAGGAAGAGCCAGTTAGTATGGTCTATCATCTGGGGCTTCCCTTGACTTTCCCTTGAAGCTGGAGTCCCAGATCCTGACTTTCACATCAACTTTCTTGCTTGATTCACCTCCAACACCTTTCTGAAAAAAGGTAAAAGGGGGTGGGTCGGTCTGAAACTTTGCCTGGCTGAGATGGCATTAATCTTTCTCCCTCCTTGATGTTTTTGACTGACTATGGAATTCTAAGATGGAAACCTTTTGCTCAGAATAGGAATGCCTTTCTGCTAACTCCCTATACCGATCTAGAGAAGCTAAAGATATTCTCTCTCATTCTCAGTCCACTGCACCTGTACTGTTTCCTCTGTGTGTGGGGGGGGCATATTTTCACTTATTCCTGGAAAGAAAAATGGCTCCAGTGGGATCTACCAATCTCAAACTCTGTTTCAGTTCTGAAACTTTTCTATAATTTCTGTTGGTTCCCTATTCTCTCTGCCATACACAGGCTTACTAGGGCAACCTCAGAGTTGATGGGGAGGGGAGAGAGAATATCATCAGCAGTGGGTCTATATGCTGTGTAGCTCTGGGCCCTACCCAGAATACCAAGGGAGTCAGCACCTGCTTCTCCCAGCCTGGATGCGGGGAAATTGCCTGAGTAGGAAAATAATCAGGTGTGTTCCCTAATCCTGACTGTCCAAAGTCAGTGGTAGAGTAATAGCTCAGCAGTACTCAGACCTACCCTCTCATCACAGCCTACCTGAGGAGCACAGGCTAAATTTACCAATGCAACTCCTATTTATTCTTGCAAACCTTTATGCCTGCCCATCAGATCCCTGTCTATAACACAGTAAGACTCCTCCCTGCATAAGCTTCCTACTCAATTTCTATTGTAAGTAATTTCCTACCCTGCCATTCTCTTTCTAAAACTTGTGTCAGTTGAGGGATTGGACTGCTTAGATTAATAATCTAGTATCTTTTCTTATTTACCATCTCTGTCTTTTATGTACTGATATCTAGGACATTTCTGACATATTTTTAAATTTTTTAATTTCTGCTATCATATTTTTAGTCTTCAATAATGATTTCTTATTCTCTAGATTTTTCTTTACATAGCAGCCTTTTTCTCATGTGGAAGGGCAACATTTTGTCTAATTGTAGTGGAGTGCTGAGTTTTCTGCTTCTTATATCTCTGTACCCTTCCTTTCTCCTGCAGTTTATGTTTGCCTTTTATTTGAATTCTTGCTATTGTATTTGTCTTTTATTCACATTGGAAGCATTCCTGAAATGCCTGCTGGCCTTTAACTATCCCATATTCTATCCATAGGCACTCAGAACTAGTAGGAAACAGCATGAAAAGGCAGAGTTGGCCAGTTGCAAAGTGACAATGATCCATACAGCTTTTTCTTTACAGAAGAGTTACAGAGTTTTGATTTTCTTCAAGCACACACTGCACTAGAGGTGGCTTCTCTCTCTTTGCGCCTCCACACACTGCTGGCTAGAACTCTGCCTACACGGTGATGAGAGAACTGTCTGAACTCTGTGGCTGGGCCAGGCCCAGAGCAGCTGTCAGTTTATCTATACCATAAAAAATGTATTTTCCATAAGCTTTCTCCCTGGCTAACCATTACTTTGTGAAAACATGCGAGGAGACTTAAATGCTCTTCAAATAACTAATATCCCACTCTGCTGCTCTTTCCTAACCTCTGGAATTTCAGTCTTGTTGGCCTGTTTCCTACAAGATAAAGATGATCAAGATAGCTGAACCCCTTCCATAAGCAGCTCAGTCTTGTATCCATCATATCACCTTATCCTCAGAAAGCCCTCCCTGTGAAACATCAATTATCCCATTTTCAGAGAAGGAGCCACATGCCAAGGCTCCCACTGGTCTAACGCCAAAGCCTGAGTTCACCACAATCAACCCTCACCTTATCACACAGAATTCACTTTTGTTCTTCCAAGATGATATGGTTCCCAGGGGAACAGAGACCCAGTGTTCCATGTGGAACTGTGGGCAAGATGGGAGGTACAGAGGAAAGACACCAGAAGATTCTGTCTCTCCTGCTCATCTGTCTTCTGCCATCCACCAAAGGGAAAACCTGTCTTCGCTGCTGGCCAGAGCTGCCTGCCTTGCTAGACTATGATCTGCAGATTCTCTGGGGCAGCCCTGGGCCCCCAGCAGAGCTCTCCCAAAGCATCCGCTCCCTCTTCCTGGAGGATAGCACCTTGCTCAAACCCTGGTATCTTGGTGAGACATGGCCAGGAAACAGGGATCAGGGCCACCACTTTGCCTCACCTGAACCTTACTCCCCTGACTTCCCTCCATCCCATGACTCATCCTCAGATCGGGACCATTTGGAAGAACAAACAGCCAAATTCTTCAACCAAGTAGACCATGCCATTAAGAAGTTACGGGATGGTGAGGAAGCCAAGTGTCCCAGGGCCCTGGACCTTGGGGTTAACAAGGCCCCTCCCCAAGGGCCACTTTGGCCATGGGTAGGGAGGGCTTAGTGAAGGGCTGGATACGGGTTCTGTGTTCTCCATGGAATTCCATTTGAAAACACTGGCTTACAATCCCAACGTCAAGTGAGTTACATCATTGAGTGCCCTTCCCCTCGGCTGCACCCAGATAAAGCATTGCTTCTGGAAGAGATTCATGTTCACAAGGGTCTCTTTGCTGAGAGTCTGAACAAAAGATCCAAGGAGCTGAAGGAGAAGGGTGAGAGGTGGGACTGCTCCTGCCCACCCCCAGCCCTTTACTCCCTCCTACCCCCACCTACCTCCCACAGAACCAAGACCTTCAGAATCCAATCTGCAGCCCTTCCCAGACTCTTTCCCCAAGTCCTCACCCTGAACACTGGGTGCCTACCACACCTTCCCCCAACCCACACCCCACACTCTTCCTGGCTCTGTCTGCCTCCCCAGCACCTCAGTTTCTCCACCATTTACCTTGCGGCAGCCTGCAATTCGTCCTGTGGTGAGTATGTCTAGGGGCTGGGCTTGAGCAAGGGGTAAGAGTCCCTGCCCCTTCTGAAGTCCCTGCCTAACCTTCTCACAGACATTCACTCCAGAATGGAGGTCACCGAATGTGCCAACTGTAGGATTCACTTCCTCTCCTTGCAATGACCCTACCCTCTGCCCAGGTCAGTGACATCTGCCCCATCCAACCTCCCCATATGGCCCTCTACTCCTGGAACAGTGTGTCTGTCTAACCCAGGTCTTTCCTGCTATTGCTCCTCTCCCTGGGTGAAGGAAGTTAGTACCTTAGGGATTTCTTGATGCTGTGATGTCTAGATTCACAGTCATCTGCCTCTACTTCCTCAGTCAGTGTGCCTGAAACAGGCCCCAACCTGTCACCTGTCGCCAGTGCCCCCAAAGCCTGCTCTGCCTCGGGGCCCTTCTCAGCAAGTTTCCCCATTCAGGCTCTCCACCTCTGAAGCCAGGAATCTGTCTTTGCTTTATTTCTTCCACCTTTACCCATAGAATCACCAGCCTTGCTAAATTACTATTAAATGTGCTGCTATGTTTCTTTTTTCTTTCTTTCTTTCTTTTTTTTTTTTTTTTTTTTTGGTAGTACTGGGTTTTAAACTCAGGGCCTCATGTTAGTCAGGTGTTCTATTACTTGAGCCCCTCTGCCAGCCCCTATATTTCTTTCTAATCTCTGGCACTCTGCCTTAGGCCTCCTCATCTCACATCTGAATTACAGCAAACTTTCCTCACTGGTGTCCCCACCCCTCTTGGCCACATCTCATCCTGCCACCAGAAAACTCTTTCTCAAGAAGAAAATCTACCAATGACACTCCATCTATAGCCTCCAATGGCTCCCCTGCCCAACCTCCCAACACCCAGCCCCACTTTTCCCCCAGCCAAGGCTGTGCCAACCTACAAGTGGGTTGTAGGCCTCATCGTTGTGCTGCTGCTGGCTGTAGTTGGAAGTGGGTGAGTGATGCTCCAAGCACTGACAGCATCCCCCAGGAGACACATCTGTTCCTTGACTGACACATCTCCACCCTGTTCTCTGGCCCAGATATTACTATTTCTGGCTCAAGAAGAAGAAGGCAGCACAAGAGGTACTAAGAAAGTAGACCTGAGCCAGATCTTAGGAAACCCAGGAGGGAAAAGCTAGGTACCCGGAGGTTGCAAGACCTGGAGACCCAGCTCTGGCCCAGGAGATCTGGCACCCAGAGCAGAGTGGGATCTCAGGTTGGATGCAGGAGGACCACACATCAACCCCAAGTACACAGATGTACTCAGGGTCAGGGCCAGGACACAGAGAAGCAAGACTCCAGGTCTCTGGTTCTCACCATGTGAGCCCCCTGCCCTCAGTTGTAACTGTTAGTTGCAGACTCCCTCCCCTTGTTGTCCTTCTCACTGACCTGCAGATGCTAGCCCTTGGCTACCTAACCCTGGCTCCCAGGCGGGTTTGGCAATGGGGTCTCCCAGCAGGAAGTCAGAGGGACCAGGGTCAGGGTGGAAACCCTGCTTCATTTCTCTTACCAGGGCCAAGACTTGCCTCCCGAGGATGAGCAGAAATCACAGCAGCAGCTGGAGGAAGACTAGCTCCTTTCTGTTCTTGGTACCCCTCCCTCCTCTGATGCCACATCCACTTGGGGATTTTGAGAATTCTAAGGTTCTGATACCCAGCTCCCTCTCTCGCTCTCGCTCTCTCTCTCTCCCCCCTCTTTCTCCCCTCCCCACCTACACACATATCTTTGTAAATAGTCTCTTTATTAAAACATCTTTTCCTATTCTATTTGACTGTGCTTTTGCTTCCTGCTGGAACCAGTGCAGAGACATTGTTACAGTTTAGATACGAAGTGACTCCCAAATGCTAATGTGTTACAGACTTGGTCCCCAGCTGATGGATCCAATCACTGAGAGAGAGGTGATTGGATCATGGGGCCTCTGACCTCATCAATGGATTCGTCCATTTATGAATTCATACTGAGTGGGCTAGTAGGAAGTGGGGCATTGTTAGAGGAAGTGACACACTGGGAGCGTGACTTGGAAAGATGTACCTTGTCCTAGGTCTCTTCCTTTCTCTTTCTCTTTGTGGTTCCTGGCCACAGCAAGATGAGCAGCCCTGCTCCATCATGCCCTTCCTCCATTACATTCCGCCTTACCACAGTCGCAGAAACAATGGAACCAACCAGCCATGAGCTAAAACCTCTGAAAGCCTGAGCTTAAATAAATCCTCACTCCTTCAAAGTTGTTCTTTCAGATATTTGTCATAGCAGTGAAAAGCTGATTCATACACCAGCACTGTATGTGCTGTCCTCTACTCTCACTCAGCCCCATGACCTACCACTATCTTCTCCAAAACATACTTTTCTCCTGTCTTGATCCCCAAAGTGCTAGTTTCATAGGCTCATACTAGCTTCACCTAATTCTATCACCAGAGATGAGGTTAGAGTGGCCTGTTTCTAGGCATAGAACGAAAGGGGCAAAGACCAGCTGTAGGACAGGCAAAAGCAGAGACCAGAAAACAGGCTTCAAGTCCCACCATTAGTGAGGCCACCAAGCATAATGGATCATAAAGTGATAATCTACCCTCGAAGGAAACTGAGGGTAAGCCTGAACCCTGCGTCTTAGACACTTTTATGGATAGGGTTTAATGATTATGCTAAGGATATGTGCTTGATCGCAGAGGGCATTTCTAAAATACTGGTGAATGGGGACCGGTTTACCTAATAAGGTTGCCTCAGAGCCAAGATGGCAATTTGAAGGGAGGTGCATGCATGAAATTGCAACTATAATGAGATATAAATGAGGCCTCTAGCTAACTTCTAGAGCTGGGATAGTCTCTGGTGGAGTTGTTGTTGGGGACTATTGGCCGCAATGCCAAGAATTAGCCTCAACAGTAGAAAACCACTTCTCTAGGACAATGGTGGAACAGGATGTTTGCCAAAATGTACCTGGATATGGTACCACACCCACTCCCTGGTGCCTTGTGTATTATTCCCTTCCTACTGCCTACTCCATATCAGAATGAGTTGCTGTGTTTGCCTATGTGTTTCTTTGTGCACATCTCGCATCAACAGATTTTTTTTGTCATCTGAGGGCATATTTGCATGAAAACTAGACATTGAGTTCTGTTGGAGTAGGAAGATTAAGGAATTTGGAGTCTGTCAAAATATAGGCTCCTGCTAGGCCTAGTGCTACACAGCTGTCATTCTCTTAGCCAGGAGGCAGAGGTACGAGGATTGCAGTTGAGGCTGACCCCAGGCTAAAACTCAAAATCTTATCTGAAAAATAAAGTAAAAAGGGCTGGGTGGGTAGCTCAAATGGGGAGCATTTGCCTAGCAAGCTCAAGGCCCTGAGTTCAAACCCCTGTACCTCAAAAAAAAAAAAAATTCTCTATGCTCTGGAGGCCTCTCCTTCTGACTAGACCGAGTAGTTTACAACAGACCAACACTTCAGCCAAGGGCAATGAGAAATAAAATGCACAAAAGGAAAGTTTAAAAATATGACTTAAAGCACCAAAAGAGATAGGTCCTGATGAGAAAGGAGCTCTGAATGAGCCCAGGCCCTCCTGTATGCTCCCCTTGGCACAGGCAGACTACAGCAGAACAGGTGGGAGGTGCAAGAGCTAGGCTGAGGATGACCTTGAAGTCTGGAAGAGCTTTCAGAAATATCATGGGGCTGCACAGACAAAACTTGTAGTTCTAGCTCTTCAATACAGAGCATAAGACGCTCAGAACCCAAAAGATAAACATATACACAAAAAAGCATGGTCATATACAAACTCATATGTTTGTAACAGTGGAACTACTCTATGGAACATGTTGAAAGAGGGAAAGGAAAAGAGAATGGCAGAGCATCAGTAATATCATAAAGCATAACATTTGTGAAGGTAGAGAATCTAAGAATGTGTATTTGAAAGCTGTTGAAAAATGGGGGTGGGAGGTAAAGGGGTAAGGGAGAGTAATAGAAGGGGTTGAATGGACCAAAGTAAAGATATACCCACAGCAGGGATACACTGAGAAACTCCTTTGAACATCAACTCAAATACTATAATAATGAAAAACAGGACTATAAAATAGGTACGGGGGGTATAAATAGTAGGGAGAGGGTGAAAAGGAGATGAAGGTGAGGGTACATGGCTGATGGATTCCACATACCTATATGAAATAGAACAAAGAAACCTCTTGCAAATGTTTTAAATGTGTGACATAAGCCTAATAGGAAGTGTCATTATGAATCCTCTCCTGTATAATGAATATATCATAACAAAAAAATTTTTAAAAAGAAAAGTGAACATATAAGCTACATCTTTTCCTCCCCAGCCCCAAGGCATGAGCCCACTCTTACACAGAATAAGGCTACAGACAAAGAAACCAATCAGAAACATCTGAAATGTAATTCATCGGAGATTTGGATGTTGTAGAAATAAAAATCACAGTTTGTGGCCCACATGGGAAGATGGCTTTGATAACTACTCCAGAGAAAAAGTGGGGTGCACCAGATGCAAGTTATTTTCTGCAAAGCTTGAAACTCAACTTCAAGCTCTTAGACCCTGAAAAAAAAAATCAATGAGCTCTACCCTTATTCTATCACAGGGCTGGGGGACAGGTAAATGGATGGGATGCTGAGGAAACATCACCTGGACCCACTACTATGTTGACCCATAATGACCAGCATTCAAACAAACATGAACTGGCAGACCAAAAAAGGAGGTCAAGAGAAAAAATAGACAATAGAAACAAGCCTACAAGTGATCCTCAAATTGGAGTTATTAGATGTGAATTTTTAATGCTTGTGATTAATATATTCAAAGTTATTTAAGATACCTTTTCAACCAATGGTTCTGGAGCAACTGGAACTTCATAGGCAAACACTACCTTTGACTTAAGTCTTACATATTATATACATGAATAGCTAACTCAAAGTGGATCATGCATTTAAATGTGAAGCATAAAACAAGGGAAAATCTTTGGAATCTCAGACTAGGCAAAGAAAGAGCAATCCATGAAAAGACACACTGATAAACTGGACTTTATCAAAACTGAAAATTTTGCCCCACAAAAGACCTTGTTGAGAGGATGAAAAGATGGGTTACAGACTGAGTGGCAAGATTTGCAGTGCATCTGACAAAAGACCAGTACCTATATTATATAAAGAGCCCTCAAAACTCAATAGTAAAAAACAATCAAATTAGAAACTGTGCAACAGACATGAGAAGACATTCCACAGAAGAGAACAAATGGGTGGTACACAAACTCATGAAAAGAGGTTCCACAGCATTAGCCACTAGGAAAATGCAAATTAAAGCCACAATGACACACTAGCAACACACTTGCTTTCTCTTGAGATCTGTGAGTACAACAAAGGATCTCTTCAATGGCTTTCATCTCCTCATCTGTTAGCCCCACCAAAATAACAAGATCCATATTTTAAAACAATCCCTATGCAGGAACTAAGACTCTTCTCTGTGGGCTCTATCCAGCCCCTGGAGGAAGTCATAAAGGTACTATCATCCAGTGCCCTCCAGTGAATTCCACAAAAGAGCTCCAAGTTGACAAGCCTCACTAGAGCTTTTAGACATCTATTGCCTGTTTAGGCTGCCACTTTTTGTCAGGATAAAAACCACTTTTTAAAACTATAATATCTTCACAGAGATAAGAGAAAAAACTGCATCTATAAAACAAGAACAGGATGCTATGAAAGAGGAAAATTCAAAATATGATAGCAAACATGAAAAATCAACAGAAGCATTAAAAAACAAACATAAGGAAATCTCTAAGAAAGTAGAGTGTAAAAACAAATATTGGAAAATAGGAAAGAAAAGATTACATTAATGAGCATTCAACTTGTGAATAAAAATAATTCCAGAGAGAGAGAAAAAAGAAAATAATTGATGAAATTAATGAGGAAAACTTCCCAGAAATGAAGTTTATAAATTGCTACAATAAAGGGGCTATGAATAGCCCAATATAATAAATGAAAACATACTCACCAAAGCACCATTTTATTGAGTTTCAGACTACTGAATTCAAAGAAAAAAGCTCAAAACTACCAAATAATAAAAACATGTCACATATAAAGTATCATAAATCAAAATGCCTTTGGAATCTTAAAAGCAACAGTGGAAGAAGACCGTGGAGGACTGCCTTCAACATTCTGAGAGAAACTGATTGCCATCCTGAGCTCTATATCCGGCCAAACCGTCACATGTCTGAGTGAATCCTTTCTTAAAAATAACTGCAAGATGTGTTCCATCCAAAATGAAATCAAGTAGGGGAAATTTTTTTTAAGGTGGACCAGAACTGGGGGTGTAGTTCAGGGTAGAGAGCTTGCCTAGCCTAGTGTGCTCCAGGCCCTAAGTTCCTTCCCCAGCACTGCAAAAAGGAAAGGGAGACAGAGAGGGAGGAAGGAAGGAAGGAAGGAAGGAAGGAAGGAAGGAAGGAAGGAAGGAAGGAAGGAAGGAAGGAAGGAAGGAAGGAAGGAAGGAAGGAAGGAAGGAAGGAGAAAGGGAAAAGAAGAAATAGTGATCCAATTAATATCTTCAGAGAAATAAGAGTGAAAAACAGCATTCATGAAGCAAGAACAGCATACTACAA